GTTTTAATACATTGCAAAAAATATAAAAACGAAAGAAATCAATTGATTAAAAGACTCAATGAAATTAAAACAAGATTTGATATTATAGAAATATTATGAAGCAATTCAAATTCTGAAACCTTTCAATTGTTATTGAAGTATTTAAGACAGACTCGATTGTATGAAAGAATATAGTTTTTTTAGAGCTGTTCCAGTCCACACTCCACATCAGTAGGTGGCGGTAATGCACATTGACGTTGTTTGCCAACCGCTAAAAAAATAACTAGGAAGAAGAAGAAGAATCCTTGCGCACTGAACATGAAAGTTTTATTTTGAAATCATCACCCGGAAGTTATTTTGGCCAATAGTTGCAGCAAGATGGCGGCGTTCATGAGGACGTCTCTTGTGTCTCTTTGCAGTAAAACATGCTACACTTTGAAGGTACTTTTTCGTTACTTGTATACAATGAACACATTGCGGAAGAAATGCTTTCATTTAGTTTAAATCATCATGTTCCTAACTCCTCTGGGAGCGTTTAAACAACCTTAGCTGTAAAGATGTCAGTGTCACTAAAACGAAAGGACGTTAGCATTGTTAGACCTAAATTCAAATGTTAGGTTGTAAAAACGATAACATACAGTATTAACTGTGGTATTTTTGTGCGTATTTTACTGTTAAACATCACAGTTCTTCTTTTCAAATTCATTAAATGTCATTTTTAAAATGTAGTAAGACAAATATTAAAAAAAGAAGAAATGAAAGTGAACATCCCGCCTTTTAAATAAGGGATTACCCTGCTTATTTAACATATGCTTTACAATGAGAGGTCCCCATCCCTGGCCCTGGTGGTCCAGGTCCTCCACTTTACAGGTCTAGAGATCTGTAAAACAACATGAACACAAACTGACATAATCTATAAAAGTAATATTTAGATTGTGTGTGTAAAAGTTCAAACCAGTTAATATTTTACATGGAAGCTTTAATGCCACCGAGTGGAGGTTTGTGAAAATCTTTGCACACATTTTCTACAGTCAAACACTTACCTGTCGTCTTTTTGTCAGAAGGCCGAGGTGCTGCTGGATGTAAGACATGCTGCCCCGCTTTTCTTACCAGTCCGAACCGTGAAGTCGGTCAAACGTCTTTATAGAACAATGGGGAAGAAGTCGAAGAAGGGGAAAGAGGGATTCGTCATACGACAGCAGTACATTGAGAGGCCCATTAATATTACCTGCACAGGTAAAATGTGTTTATGTACACAGCAAAAACACCTACAGTGTTAATATAACACCTACAGTGTTAATTTAACACCCACAGTGTTAATATAACACCCACAGTGTTAATATAACACCCACAGTGTTAATATAACACCCACAGTGTTAATTTAACACCCACAGTGTTAATATAACACCCACAGTGTTAATAACACCCACAGTGTTAATAACACCCACAGTGTTAATATAACACCCACAGTGTTAATATAACAGCCACACAGTGTTAATATAACACCTAAAGTGTTAATATAACACCTAAAGTGTTAATAACACCCACAATGTTAATAACACCCACAATGTTAATATAACACCCACACAGTGTTAATATAACTTCCACAGTGTTTATTTAACACACACAGTGTTCATTTAACACCTACAGTGTTAATAACACCCACAGTGTTAATTTAACGCCCACAGTGTTAGTAACGCCCACAGTGTTAATATAACACCCACAGTGTTAATTTAACACCCACAGTGTTAATAACACCCACAGTGTTAATATAACACCCACAGTGTTAATAACACCCACAGTGTTAATATAACACCTACAGTGTTAATATAACACCCACAGTGTTAATAACAACCACAGTGTTAATATAACACCTACAGTGTTAATAACACCTACAGTGATAATTTAACACCCACAGTGTTAATATAACACCTACAGTGTTAATTTAACACCCACACAGTGTTAATATAACACCTACAGTATTAATATAACACCTACAGTGTTAATAACACCCACAGTGTTAATATAACACCCACACAGTTTTAATATAACACCTACAGTGATAATAACACCCACAGTGATAATAACTCCCACAGTGTTAATATAACACCCACAGTGTTAATATAACACACACAGTGTTAATAACACACACAGTGTTCATTTAACACACACAGTGTTATTAACACACACAGTGTTAATAACACACACAGTGTTCATTTAACACACACAGTGTTATTAACACACACAGTGTTAATAACACACACAGTGTTCATTTAACACACACAGGGCTGTACAGTGTGACATATGTCTGCATATGTGTTTTGTAAAAGTTAGTATAATTAGAACAAAGAAATATGTGTATTTTGAATAAATGTTACAAATGGGTGATTTTTATTTTATTATTTTTTTAGGCATGACACTTCTTAACTCTTTATATGTACAGAGCAGATAAATACAAACTTTATTGACTCAGACACTAACTGCACATACAATCAGAATAAGAGTCAGATTATTTTGAAACTTAAAACCCTAAAAAGATGTACTTGGACATATTTTGATCTGCAACATAATAAAGGGTCAAGAGTTATTCTGCAGCTCCTGCTGCAGACTTTAGTTAAGCTTTAATCAGAGCAGCTGAGATTTTTTTCCAGGCCTCTTTTAATTCCATCCTGTTCTCTGAAATCACAC